GGATGTCCGACTGCCAGTTTAGGCCCTAAACTGGCAGTCGGACATCCCTCTCGCAATCTGGGACAGCTGGCTCCTAACCACTTGCCTGCCTGCCTGCCTGATTGCCCCTAACCACTCTGCCAGCCTGCCTAACTGCTCCCCTGCCGGCCTGATTGCCCCTAACTGCTCCCCTGCCTGCCTGACTGCACCTAGCTGCCTCTGCCTCGGCCCCCGTCACTGCGGCTTTATCTGGAAGGATGTCCAAAATGACATCAGGAAGGTTATTTGGCTGTCTGGTCTAATTAGCATATTACGCTTTTATTAGTATAGACTAGAGGCCTGGTGCACAAAAATTTGTGCACTCAGGGGGGCCCCACAGCCCGGCCTGTGCCCTCTTGCAGTCTGGGACCCCTCGGGGGATGACCACCTGCCGGCTTAGGCCCGCTCCCTGGGGGATTGGGCCTAAGCTGGCAGTCAGACATCCCTCTGGCAGCCCGGGAGCCCTCAGGGGATGCCCAACTTGCCAGCGGGGAGGAGGCCTAAGCTGCAGTCGGACAACCTTAGTGCTGCTGAGGAGGCAGGAGAGGATCTCACCACCACCACTGTACTGGCAGCCATCAGCCTGGCTTATGGCTGAGCAGAGCTCCCCCTGTGGGAACGCACTGACCACGAGGGGGCAGCTCCTTCATTGAGCGTCTGCCCCCTGGTGGTCAGTGTGTGTCATAGTGACCAGTCATTCCCAGTCGTTCTGCTGTTAGGGTCAATTTGCATATTACCCTTTTATTATATAGGATAGAGGCCTGGTGCATGGGTGGGGGCTGGCTGGTTTGCCCTGAAGGGTGTCCCGGATCAGGGTGGGGGACCCGCTGGGGTGCCTGGCCAGCCTTGGTGAGGGGCTGATGGCTGTTTTCAGGCTGGCCAAGGCCCCCAGTGGGAACCCTCACCCCATGAGTGTGTGGCCAGCCTGGGTTAGTGGCCGCTGGCTGTTTGCAGGCTGGCCACAACCCTTTCAGTGTTGGGGTCCCCGCTGGGGTGCCTGGCCAGCCTGGGTGAGGGCTGATGACTGTTTGCAGGCTGACCACAGCCCCTTCAGGGTGGGGGTCCTGCTGGGGTGCCTGGCCAGTCTGGGTGAGGGGCTGATGGCTGTTTGCAGGCTGGCCACGGCCCCCAGCCACCCAAGCTCCCAATGGAGGCTGGCTGGAAGCAGGTATCTGGGATTTATTTATCTTCTATAATTGAAACTTTGTTGCCTTGAGCTGAGGCCACAGCTGGCCAGGACAGGCGGGAAGCTTGGCTTCCTCCATCGCCGGGGCAACCAAGCCTCCTGCTTGCTCCAGCTCCATGGCTGCCGGCCGCCATCTTGGTTGGGTTAATTTGCATATAGTCACTCGGATTGGCTGGTGGGTATGGCTTGGGGCATAGTGGATGTGTGGTCAATTTGCATGTTCCTCTTTTCTTAGATTAGATGAGGGATATAGGGCTAAGTAAATATGCAGATAAACATATGCTCACCAATTGTGTGCACCAATTGTGCTAAGGACTGCAAAGGAAAAATAGTCCTGAGCACCTATGACCACAAGAGAGAGTAACAAGTAAAAGGGGCTTGGAGGAGCCCCCTCCCCATAGTGAGGAATTGACATAAACTGAGACCTCGGTAGGCAAGGAAGGAAGTGTGGGATTTAGAAGAGCCCACCCCTTTCTGTTGGTCCTAAACTCCACCTGTGCTGGTTTGTATAATGCAAAGATTGCAATCAGAGCGTGGAAGTTTCTTTGTGACTTTATATCAATGTAACTATTAGAGAGTATGTAAGGAAGAATACCAGGTAAAGTTGAATCTGAATAATTATCTGGTACCACTTTGGAAAAGTTAGGCCTAAAGGTCCTCCATTGTTCACTACAAGTTTCCAGGTCTAATCAGCTGTCTCTGTGCCCTCCAGCTGTAGCCACACGTGGCTAGTTCCATGTTTCCTTTTTATCTTCGTAAATGTGACTGCTCAAAGAATTTAAAATACATCTGTGGCTCACATTATATTTCTGCTGGGCAGTGCTGGTCTAAATAGCTGCATAGATGGGTTTTTGTTTGTTTGTTCTTTTTATATGAAAATATCCACACAGGATGTCAGCAGGGCTAAAGAAGAGAATTACAAAGTGAATAGTGCATGAGCAAAATCATTATTCTAATGGTTATCTAACATTTGCAGATAAAAACTGTGGATGCTTGTAATTGTTCTTGTCAACATCCATTTCCCTTTCTTCAGGTAAGAACATGTCAGTAGTCTTTATCACTCCTCCTCACTTCTAACCTCAGAGATCTTAGCGAAGGCTCGTCCGGTCATGTGATCCAGGCTAGCCAATCAAAGTGCTGTCTCCCCAGGTCGGGCATGTGATCCAGGACAGACCATCGAGACTTAGTTCCAGGGCTTTTGGTAGAACTCTTAGGAAAGAGGAGCTCTTTCTGCAGGAGCTGCTAATTTTAGAGGACAATAATTTGGGATGACTCTTTGAAACTAAACACTCTTACTATTGAAACCAATTGGAAGCAGATGGAAAGAATGTTTTCTGACAATATTGCTCAGCCTCCTGAATCCAGCTGGTTTGAAGCTGCAACCCCTCCTAGACTTTTCAGTCACACACCCTGCTCTCGTGTTAGCTAGTTGAGCCGGGTTTTGGTTATATGCATGTCCTGGCTTAGATAATCGCTGAGATATATGCACTTGCTGAAGGCTTTTTAAAGAGAATGAACAGTTCTTCAAATGAACACTAATTAAGTCAGTACGACCCACCAGAATAAAATCAATTAATGATTTTTTCGGTTGATACTTTCTGTTAATTAGTTGTATTTTCTTCTAATTAAAGCCCTACTGCCAGGACATAATCTAGATAATGATTTTTGCCTTGAAGACTGTAACAAGAAGGCATAGCAAAAATGAGGAGGAATACTGATTTTAAAGGGTTCCAAAAAACGTTTTTCTTGGGAGTCATAATGCAGATGGTTATACGTGTCGATGTCTGTTAGCCACGTGGCCAATTTCCAGTTCAATTCAATTGTATAAATGTCTCATTGCTGATAAGTTACTGTTGTTATGGGGCAGGAATTTTACCAGAACCAGCAAGTAGTTAACTCACGGAGTTTTATGAAAACTCCCAGTTAACACTGATCATCTTTGTGTTGTTCTTCCTTTTCTTTTAAGGATTTCCTTCCAATTAAGTGCCCAATCTAGAAACACCAGCAACACCCTGAACCATGATGCTGAATTTTCATCTCTAAGTTTCCATTTTAGCTCAGTCACTGAGTTTGTATTCTAACCAAGTCCAGAACCTGCCTATGTGAACCTAGGACAGATACCCGTGTCCTCTGATGTCAGTGCATGGGGAGGACTTAACTGCCTGCATGCGGCCCGCTCGCTGCTGTTACAGTCATAATTAATATCTGTCAGCAGCCAAGTCTTGGTGGATGGTCACGGATGAAATTAACTTAGCTCGGCTATGCAAGGAAAGCTATAATTAACAACCCCCAAAGCGAACAAATATTTTTAGAGCAATGCTCTATACATACACTCAGGTTAGTAGCTAGTTTCCTCCTTTTAAAATTCTGACTTAGAGCAACAGTACGTGGGAAAATTCAATAAATATATACGTAAGAAGTAAAGAAGTCCTCCTCCGACATTCAAGAACATCACCCTGCAGTGGAAAGTGAAATCGCGATCAGTGTGTGACAGGACACAGCAAGACGGTTTTCAACCACAGGGAGATCGTGTTGTTTCTCACCTTAAACAGACAGTATTTTCTGGTTCAGAAAAGTTAGCCTGAGGACTTCTAATCTTTGAGGCTTGTTAGTTGATACTACATACATATGTATATATCTGTATGTATATGCACACATATATTCATATGTGCGCGCGCACACACACACACACACAGGCATGTGCTTGTCCTGCACTCCCTGTTAGAAATTTCAGTTTTTAGAAGGACTGTCTTCATTCTCTTTATACATGTCACATAGAAGTGTTTACTGGGTTGGCTTTTTATAGACAACATCTTAATAAAATTAAAAATTATTATAAATGCAGAGTTTACATTCAAATCACAAGATTGGGCATAGAGTATATTCTTAGTAACTAAATAATCCTAGAAACATATGATGATAAAGTCTGTGGAAAATACAATGTAGGTATGAATTAGCTAAAGTAATTCCACTTGGGTTGATTAAAGGTATCTTCATGGGATGGATGCCCACATTCACATCGTTGGTACAGATACATGCAGACAGAACTGCCGCTGTGTGCAAAGTCCTTGGGGTTTCTGAGTGCCCTCCATTTCTAATACCCTTGGCTTTTCTTGGCCATCTGATTGTGAAGAATTAAAATTTGGCAAAAGAAAAGGTCTCTAACACAAACCAGTGGAAAAGGAGAAAGAATGCTATCCAGGCTTAGGTGAGCACAGGAGACACTCATAGTTCCCAGGGCAGATCCTGCCCGTGGGAGGAGCAACTTCACCAGGCAGCTCAGACGGGGAGGGCAGGGCCAGCGCCTGGCACTCATCCCCGGGGAGCATCTGGCAGGAAAAATCTCAGAGGGAGGAGGCGTGGTTCCTAGTTCCAAGGAAAACCGCAAACTGCACTGGGGGTGGGACGCAGACCTGAGGGAGGAGCACGGACCTGCACGCCTCCCACCACCAGCCCTGGAGTAAAGTTACCTGAGGCTGTGCCTTCTCCCTTAGGGCGAGGGGCCCGCGATGGGGGCAGGGCACCAGGGCGTGGAGCTCTTTAGTGTCTGAGACCTCTGGCTCTAGCTAGTCTACAAGCAGCAACCTTTACTAGAAGTAGGCTGACTCCAGGCCCACTGAGGGCCCTCACGTTTCCAGGTGCTGTCCTCTGGAACCTCAGCCAGGGGTGTGTGTGTGTGTGTGTGTGTGTGTGTGTGTGTGTGGAGAGAGAGAGAGAGAGAGAGAGAGAGAGAAACTATTCTAATGTATGTCAACCATAACTAAGCATACATTTTAAAAATGTACAGGAAAGTTACCTTTCTTCTCTCCTCGGCGGCCTCCAGTTTCTTCTGGATCTCCTCCAGGGACAGGTCTTTCTTCTTGGGAGAAGCTAAAGTTCGAGGGGCTTCTGAGATGGGAGACGGTGGCTTTAAGATCAGCTCGAAAGCCTGGCCGGAGGCACGTTTGTTGATCTGCTTCACTTCCATGTCTGAGGAAGGAATGTGTGCGGATGGTGAGCACAGAGCTGGGCCTGTGTTAATCACCCGAGTCCCGGCGATTGAGAGCAGCCCTGCTGTGCTGTCAGATAGGGATACAGAGCTGCGTAGGACCCTCTGCTCCACCTTGCGTGGAAAATACAGGACCTCTTTCTGCCGTGCGATTATGGATATATTTTAAGAGAATAAATATTTACGCTGTTGGGGAACTCAACAATGCCCACAGGGCGTTGAGTAATGGCAGACATTCTTAGGAGAAAACAGCCTGAATTGTTTTTAATCTAAACTTGATTTTTTTTTGGCATAAATATGGGCTTCACATGAAAAACAAGTAGCACAGACTTCGATGGTTTTGTGTGGAAATTAGCAGGCTGGAGGCACTTTCAGGCTAAATGATGAGAAATAACAAAGTCCTCCATTCCCACATACAGTCCTGTTAGCGGCCCCACGTCCGAACTGTTTTGAGCCATAGACAAGCAGTAAGGCCTGATAGCTGGACCCAGCACGCGAGGAGCGAGCTCCACCAGCCACAGATCTGATCAGACGAGGAGCTGGGAGGGAGAAAGGACAGGACCCCGCCCTCCCAGGGGCAGCCCTTCTGGTGTGAACTCACCATCGTAAGTGTAGATGCTGATGTTGCGGGGCTCGGGGTAGAAGCAGGAGCAGATGAGCGAGAGCATGGACAGCTCCTTCATTTTCTCCTTGTAGGCTGGAACAAAGGGCTCGGTTAGACTCTCCCCTCCCTCAGCTTCCTCTTTTAAAAAACATTTTTATTGGTTTTTAGAGAGAGGAAAAGAACGGGAGAGAGAGAAACATCGATGTGGGAGTGGGACAGTGAGCAGCCGGGAATTGAGCCGCAACCCAGGCCTGTGCCCTGACCGCTGGGAATCGGACCGGCAACATTTTGGTGTTCGGGATGCTGACCAACCAACGGAGCCACACTGGCCAGGGCCCCGTTTTCCTCTGAATGCTTCATTTAAGTTCAGTAGTAATAGCCTTCTCCATATACGGCCCGGGACCCCGCTCTGCTCTCTTTCACAAAACATAAGCGGATGAAAGGTTAAGCCCGAACTCTGAAGTGCATGTTCTTACACAGGACATAAATGGCGTGTTCCAGCCGGTCAGGTAAGATGGTGGAGGACGGGGATTACAGGAAGGAAGGCGGAGGAGTGAGATCTGGCAGGACAGGACGGAGCGACGGGAAAGATCTGGAGGAAGCAGGAGCAGAAACGAGCAGAGATGGGGGCAGTGCAGCGCCCGCGCAGGCCTGTGGCGTGTACGTGAGACTCAGGAGGTGTCCTGAGCTGGCTCAGCCTGAAGGCCTTCGTTGGAGATGGCAGAGAACGCACCGGGATATAGCTAGTGAGCAGATACATCCTCCAGGGACCCAGGCTGCTGCTTTCTCCTCACCCCCAAGGGCACTTTCTTACATCTCCCCCTTTCAACACACATCGAAAACCTGGCCTGAGACCCAGCATGGATCTCCTTTGCTCTCTGTGGAACCCAGTGTGGGTGCCCACCTCGCCAGGTGGCTGCAGGAGCTCAGATGGGCACCTCCTTCCTCCTTACCTCCCCTTTCCAGTTCATTTTCCCCCTTTCTCCTCCAAGGGGTGCCCTGCCCAGGCGACCTCGAGGGCATTTTACCACTGTTCGTGGTCACCAGGACAAGTGACGGCCAGATGTTGATTCTTTAATTAGTGAGATGAATACATTAAGAAAAATGGGAGAAAAATGATAGGCATATGGTGCCCTAACTTGGAATAATGTGTTGAACTTCCCGGGTAGCACGTGCCTCTTGGCAGGGTCTTCTGATCACCACTGTGGCCCGAGGGAGAGCGAGCAGGTTTGGGAAACGCAAACCCGCAGAAGATACCGTTGCGCTCTAGCGGCAGGTGTGCCTTTGTTGGCCAGCGAGAAACAGATGCGGCACCGGGCGCTTTAGAGCTACGAATGCTAGATTGGGAAGGTCCCAAGGGAGCATTTAGTCAACTGGCCCTCAGAGCGCAGTCATCTGAGGCCAACGACAAAGCTGGGGCTCTGGATGAAACGCAGTAACGCTACGTCAAGGTCGCCGGCAGGCCTGCTCCAGCTCAGTTTTCAGGATGAGGATCGCTGTGCCCAGAGAGCGGGGCCTGCCTGGTCAGAGGAGGGCGGGGCGGGGGCCAGGAATGGTTCACAGTCAGGTTGCTAGAGTTAGCAACTACACACATAGGACACCGAGTCAAGTTTAATCCAAATATTGCATGAGACCTACAAACAATCTTCCTTAGCTTTTCTGAAATTCAAATGGAACTGGGTGTCTTGTATTTCATACGGCAGCCAGAGAAAATGGAGGGAAGGACATTGAGTTGGGCTCTAAAGAGTCCATGGGAGACTTTCATGGACTCTGGGTTCTCAGAAGGTTGAAAACTCCAGGAAGTATCACCCACTTCCTGGTATCTGTGAATGGGGACCTCTGTGCCCGCGAGACAGCGTGGCCACGGGCTGTGCTACCATGGTAGGAAGTCTTCCTGGGAGCCAGTTCTGCGCCAAGGTTTCCGGTAAGATACTCGGAAATTTTGCTCATGGAAACGGATTGTGACTTACGACATCATATTTGCCTGGAAACAAGGATGGATAGATTTTATCTAAGAATGTTAGACTATCATGAATTTTAAATGTAATCTTAAAAGAAACATAAGCTTAGGAGTTTGGTTTTGCATCAACCCTTAGGAATATTTCTGAGAAACTTTGAGAAGCAGAGGTGGCAGTGGGCTGGTTTAAGCCCATCAGTAACATCCCCTCTCACTGTCAAAGCCTGGCCATGACATTCCTCCTAGTAACAGGGAGCCACTAAACCTTTCCAAAGGAGGGCAGGTACCTGACAAAAGCCCCTCCTTACATTTATTTGGCCACTGTATGCCGGAAAGTCCTGCCGCTGGGAGACACGCTTAAGAAACGACTGGATGAAGTTTGAGGGCACCGTGGTTGGCGTAGGAAATGGTAGTGCCAGGGGCAAAGGACAGGAAATGCAAGAGACTGTGAAAGAAGCACCTTGATAGGAAATAACACCTGAGTGAGGGCCCAGGGCAGAGAGGAGGGGGCCCTCGCGGGTGGTGGTCAAGGGAAGCTTGCCAGAGAAAGTGTCCTGAAAACGAAGTCCCATGAGCGAGTTGTTCTTGCAGAGAGTAGGCATGTGTTGAGGGGCTGAAATGCACATAAGCTGGATAAACTTTTGTATGCAGAATAAGAAAAATCCCAAGCAATTGCAAAGGCTATTAGAAACGCGCTAATAATATCTCACTATTGATATTTCATACTTCGAATTGACAACTGTTGTTATCGGTTTTTGAAAGTCAGCCTGTATCACTCTGTTCACAGCACCCCAATGCATGCGAGCAGAGCTGGATGCGCCTTTGCCGGGATGTGGGAGGTGACCGGCAGCTCCATGTAATCTTCAGAGTTGGTTGCACGTGCGATCAACTACTAATGTTTGCAAGTAGGTGTATTTCTCCAGTGACTTCATTTACAATTCAGCCCACGTGATGCCTAAGGGTTCTACAGCAATATCCACGCAGCCTAGTGATGTGCAGACAGTGGTAGTTTTGCCACTCTTCCGAAAGGCTACATGAACTGCGGATACTGGTAACGGCTGCCATTCGCTGAGATCAAACAGCGTAGCAGGCTAAGCCGTTTGCATGCATTTTCTCATTTAGTCGTCTCAACACAGCCAGGGGAGAGGGACTATCCTAGCCTAGACTCACAGATGAAGCAAACACTCAGAGAAGTGGGGGAACGTGCGCAGCGTGCGACAGGTCAGAGTGGAGTTCAGTTTGAACGTAACTATTCACTTCCTCCAACAATCCGCTCAGATTTGTAACACACACCTTCACCGTCTGCATATGGCTTCTAACCAGAAAGGATTACTTTTTATTTGTTGGTATATTAGGATTACTGATGTTTAAAATAAAGAATCCAAGACTTTTTATCTTCCCATTTTCCTTTGGCGTCTGCTGTTTAATTGGCACAAGTAAGTATAGAGATTTATAGAAAGAAAGAAACCTTTTTTTGAACTTGTGGATTTTACTTGGTGCAGATGGTGAGAAAACTCAGGGAGAGTTGCTGAGCAGGGACTCTGAAAAAAATATTATATATTACATATATATGTAGTATATATATTATATAAGTTATGTATATAATATATATACACACACACATATATATATACACACATTTAAAATTCAGCCACATGATGCATACATATAATATGTAATATATATATTGGTTAATCCTCACCCGGAGGATATTTTTCCATTGATTTCCAGAGAGAGTGGAAGGGAGAGATAGAGGCAGAGATAGAGAAACATCGATGTGAGAAAGACACACTGACTGGTTGCCTCGCGCACGCATCCTGACCAGGGCCAGGGATTGAGTCTGCACCAAGGTACATGCCCATGACCAGAAGTGAACCCTGAACCCTTCAGTTCACAGGCCGATGGTCTAACCACTGAGAAAAACCAGCGAGAGTCCTGAGTGTATATTCTTATTATATGGGTAAGTATATCCTTACATGCTCATGTCACAGTCAAGGAGATAGAGAAAGTGGTGTTATCCAGGTATTTTAGGAAAACACTTTTGCACCAGTTATTCAGGTGTTTGAAGAGTGATATATGTTGGCAGGCAGTTACCTGAAATTTTTCTGTTTCTTTTCCCTGTGTGTATATAAATGTGGAGAGTGGTGTTTTTTTCTTTGAGGAACAGAGTAGTGGAGGAGAACAATGTAATTGTTCTTGAGACTTAATCATCAGATTAGATTGTGGGATAGATTAAAATGAGATGTGTTGCTTACTTGGTAAAATATGAAATAGACACACACATTTATAGTTATTTCCCCCAGTCTTCTAAGCCTACATCATAAGCTCTGAGCCCTTTGCTCCAACTTTCAACTACCTCTTAATTTCATAGATGTTGTGTTTCAACAGATATATTATTCATGACAATATGCCCCGCCCCATTATTTTGAAAGGCCAAATAAGTAAACATTGTAAACTTTCTACTTCACTTGGCTTGTGTGAGAACGCCCGCACCAGCATGAGCTCTCATCCCTACCATCTCGTTGTTACCTGATTTGGAATCAGTAGTGTCATAAAATACTTTCCGTGTATTCATTCTGGGCAAAATTTTATTTGTCTCCTCAGTTTTGGCTACTGCGGAGTAGGGCGTGGCCGTCTGGGTTAGATTTCCTGTTACCAGGGGAGAGCTAATAGGAAATGCTCTGGGACTGTTCGTAAGGTGCTACGTTGGGAGGAAATATCTCATACTGTCTGAGTGGGCACTCGAGTGCGTGACCATAAGGACAGTCCCCAGAGGCCTGGACGTGACTGAGGACGTGTGCCCTGGATGGCTCCCGCAGAGCGAGTGCCCAGGTCTGTTAGCGCCTTCTCTCTCCCTTCCTTTCTCATGTTTCCTGTGAGACTAGCGAGGGCCGGAGGTTCTTGGCTTCAATACCTAGTTTGATTCAACCTGAACGCCTTCTTCCGAAAGCCTCTGGGCAGAGTGCAGGGCACAGTCAGAGAAGAGGGCGAACGCAGGAGACGGCGCCTGCGCTTGGTCTCACAGCACTCAGATCGCACTGGCGTCTGAGGGATTTCATTGAAAAATTTCCTTATTTGAAACTTACCCATTTTTATAAACATGGACTAAAGGCACCCCTTTTTTCAGGGAAAAAAA